TGCGTCAAGGCCAACAGCCTCTTGGCTTTTGTAACTCTAATTTTGCCATCAGAACTGGACTGGGCAATAGCCCGTATTTCCTCACTTCCCATCTTCATCTGAGCTGCCTTCTGCACTCCCTCTGCAGTACCCCAAACAGAGATGTAATGGAATCCAGAATCCTCACCCCTGGGAGATGTAGGGTTTCACTGCATGGCCATTAAGCAGCTTGTCCTCTTGCACAGTAGAATTAAATAAGGCATCTTTCACTATACTTGTGCAACTAAGAAATTTCAATCCCACGTGTAGCTGATAACAGGGAGAAAATCCAAAAAATATCCATAGAATGCAGTTGAAGGCCAATGATATCAAACAAACCCATGTGAATGACACTTGGGAAATGTGTGATAAATTTAGCTAGAGAAAAATAAATTAAAATTTTACTAGATGTACTTAGCCTTTCCATTTTATACTTTATATTACTTGTCATAAGGTTTTGAAAGGATTTCATCCTTTGCTATTTAAGGCGAGCATTGATTTTTTTTCTCCTGTGTTTTGAAAAGAGCCAAAACCAATGCAAATGATTTTATCCAGGAGGCTGTAATGGCACAGTTGCAAAGCAAGTTCTTCTCAGATTGCATCTCAAAACTGTTTCACTGCTTTGTTGAAAACAAAGCAGAGGAGAGAGATATTGTTATAGTTTTACCTCCACCTGTTGCAGTATTACTCATGAACACCTTAGAGGCTTCTGGCAAAATCTCCTCTAGTCCTTCATATGGTTCTGTCTGGACTGACATCTTTCACGTGTACTTTGAAGTTCTCTGTTGCTCTTGTGGAATGTTTATACTTGATGTTTGAGACATGTTTTAACATATAAATTACCTGATTACAAGTCAGTTCTGCTCCAGGTACATTTCAAAGGGATTGCTGCCAGCCACATTTAACCCCACCAGGCTGAGATTAACTAGCACAGCTAAACTTCAAGTGACATATTTAAATCTACTTGCTTAACTACCTGTTCACTGGTGGAAACAATAAGATGGTTTTCCTTTTCTCTAAAGAACAAGACTTAGGCATTTATGCACCACCTATCTGCCTTACCTCCCAAAAAAACTTCTGAAATGTTGGCCAATTTTAATCATATTTACTTAGTGGAATATGTCTCAACATGCTACAGTTCCGTGCAAACTGTGAAATAAAGGGTGGAATTCAAGAAGTAGTGAGGAAAGGGCTCAAAAATGAGTTCAGATCTGCTTAGGGATTGCCTACAGGAGCTCGATCTCAAGAAGCCATCAAGAAATGGCTTCACTTTTAGTTTCATTCCTCAGGTACTCTTACCTCTCTTGCTTTCCCAGTATCCAAGCCATTCACAGTTCAGCTCAAGGTAGGAAAGTGCTACTGCTACTGTTTCAGCAGATAGGGAATAGAGGCACAGTATAATTAAAATTCAGACTTTCACAGGTATTTAAGCACCTCTCCATTGAAATCTGATGGCTTGGATTTACAGTCATTTGCCCAAGGTCATACAAGAAGCATGTGGTAGACCTGGGAATTGAATCCAAGCTTGCACCTTGCTCTTTGGACCATACTTCCTAAATGGGATGCAGTCATTTCAGAATTGCACCTGCCCAGCCTCCTTTTTGGTTGGATACCTGTCTGCTGTGAATAAACATATCCTTTGGTCCTCATGGTGTGAGTGTTAAAGCTGGCTATTCTTACAGCTCTGCCTCTCAGGTGCAGTGTCACAGTGCAGACCCTGCTCATGACTCCTCTTCACAGGTCTGGGACTGCACAGCATGAAGGTCACCTGAGCAATCAGTTCCTTCCAAGGGTAGCAGAAATTTTAGTGTTAAAGGGGGAATTCTATTTAAAAGGAAGGCACAGTTAGGTAGCTGAAGAATTTTTCAACACAGGAGAAAGATACTGATCCTTGGAAAAATAAAAATGTCTTGAAATTCATTTAATTCCATCTGGTCTCATCCTACTGTGACTTGATTAATTACCTGTAGATAATTTCTTCTGGATTTCTGCATTCAATCTTCTTCATATAGCATTGCTTGGCTCTGTAGCAGCTTTCAAGTATTTTTTAATTAGGATTGTCTAATACAAATAAGAACTCCCTACTCTAAAAAAAAAAAAAAAAAAAAAAAGGATGATAACAAGCATTAGGAAGATCCCAATTAAGAATGAATATAAATTCCTGAAGCACCATGGAGTTCATAATTTTAGGACAGACCTATTTCCAATCTGTTACACTAAGAATTTCACCGTTTTGAAAACTCTGGAGAATGTTAGAAGAATAACCCGCCCCCCCTACATGCAGTGTTATTTCTACAAAAATTGCCATTTCTCATTTCAAACACATACTTTTCCAAATTACAGAGGCCAGAGCACATTCTGGAGAAAGCTGATATATCTGTTCTCATTTAAAGAAGCATACTTGCTCACCTTTGACAGCCTTCGTAGCTAACACCTACTGAATAGAACAGAAGATATCGGAAGATTTTGATTTCCTTACTGAAAATTTCAGACACAAAATGACAGCCTCAGGAAATAGATCATGACCTCACAAAATATGGAGCTTGAGAATATACTGAACATAGGAATAAAACAATAATCCAATTAAAGAATGTGTGATAAACGTGTGACAGAAATTGTTACTTACGGAGGAACACAAAATAAAATGTATGTGAAGGGAAATCCTGGTTTGGACTCTCTGGCTCCAGCTGGCTGAGAAATTAAACCACTGAGTGCTGTTCTGTCGCCAGTAACAGTGAACACTTGTTGCTGCTATGCTGCCCTAAAGAGAAGTGCTGAGTAAAACAAGTGGATACGCAGTTTTTCCATCCAAACAACATTGATAAATATCAGCAAAAACACCACAGGAGAAACAATATTTTTGTTTCAAGTTTGGAAGATTTGAGGGTCCTGTTATCAAGGAGATTCAAAATATCGACTAGTGGCTCAAAAAAAGGGCACTGTCTGCTCTGTGCCCTGAAGAACCTGCACAGCGGTTGGTGTTCATCTTTCTACTCACTTGTGAAATTCTGGGCTGACATGGTAGAATCCATCCAAAGATCTTAAGATTCCACAGCAAGATGAATAGTATTGTCATGGTACTGCATTTAGAGAACAAAAGCAATAAAATAGATAAAGGGGAAAATGCATTCCCCAAGGTCCCAAACTTAGTGTTCTTGCATTACTTGACATCTTCTGGCCACTTTTTAAAAAAATAACTAATTACTGCTTATGGTACCCAGGAGGCAGAATCAAGCTGCATAATAGCATTTGCAGTAATAACCTGTGGCCTTGAAAAATTCTTCTCACTTGATGTTTCAGTTAATACTCAAAAATCTGAATACATGGACAACGAGTGTATCTAAATCTTTGTGATGTATTAAAACATATGAAACTAATGTTGTTACGTGAAACCATGTGGAAATGTGTAAAGTTTATTGAGTTTTGTTTTGTTTAAATCCCAATATCAGAAGAAAGCAAGGATAGGAGTGTACTGTATTTATCAGAGGATGCTAGCAGAGGTTTTTGTGAAACACAAGTTTCACACTAGTTAAAATACTTAAGAGCCTCATGTAATGAAGAACGACTATAGGTTATGAAGAACTGAACAAAACAAAAATATTCTTTTTACCTCTGTTGTGGAGATTGCACATACGTGTGTTGATGGCAGATGTGTGGAATGTCTTTGGCTGCCTTCACCTAGAAGGAAAATCCTTTTTTCCAATTCTGGTAAATTGGCAGGACTGGTGGATTATGAAGTGTTTCATATAAATGTTTCATAAGAGGGGTTTATAAATCTCAGTGGAGAAGTCAGTCCAACTATCATCTTCACTCAGCAGCCCGTATTTCTTCAGAACAAAGCTTAGAAGTTGAAGGAAAACGTGCTCTTTAGGCCCTATATCACCAGAGGGAAAAGATCCTTCCAGGTTTGCAGTGAGATTTTACTTCTGTAGAGGCAAGAGGTAACACAGACCTACAGGTCCCCTCCCCCAAGGTTCTCTCCCACCAAATGGTTTGTTGGTCTGGGATCCTGTGAGCCATCTTCCTCCTTCCTTGACCTACTCCTCTTCATCAGCCTCTTTCTCAGGCTGTGCAAAATTCAGGAAGTCACTGGGGGATGTAACCCGTTCTCCTCTTAACTGCTGAAGCTTGACACAGGTGTAGGACAGGTTGGAATAGACCTGAGGAACCTCTATAAAAACCTTTCCTGCTCTCCTAATAGCAGGCACTGTCCACTGAGGCAATGGGGGGTGAGGATGGGGACAAAGTGAGCTGCACACAGCCTGGGGACACCCGGGGTCCCCACCTCCCAGGGCAATGAGGATGACTGGGGGACTGGAGCATCTCTCTTACAAGGAAAGGCTGGGGAAGCGGGGCCTGTTCAGCCTTGCGAAGAGACAACTGAAAGGGGATCTCATCAATATCTATCAATATCTGAAGGGAGGGTGTCAAGAGGCTGGAGCCAGGCTCCTCTCAGTGGTGCCAAGCAACAGGACAAGAGGCAATGGGCAGAGAGTGATGCAAAGGAAGTTCCACCTGACTATGAGGAAGAACTTCTTTACTGTGAAGGTGACCGTGCACTGGAACAGGTTGCCCAGAAAGGTTGTGGAGTCTCCCTCGCTAGAGGTATTCCAGAACTGTCTGGCTGCAATCCTGTGCAGTGTGCTCTAGGATGACCCTGGCTTGAGCAAGGAGTTTGGACCAGAAGACCCACGGTGGTCCCTTCCAACCAGACCCATTCTGTGATACCACGGCCCCGGGGAAGAGCTGCGCCTGGTCAGAGACCGTGCTACACAAGCAGCACCGCCAGCAGCAGCCCTGCGGGACTGAGCCCTTCTGGTGGGGACAGCCCTTGCTGTCAGCCCGGGCTCCGCGGGCAGCCCCGGCCGTACCCGGGCCCAGCCGCGGGGGAGGCGGGCCCGGCGCCCCCCGGGCCGGGAACCTCCATAAAGGAGGCGGGCAGGGCCGGCCCGGCGGGAGGGAGCGCGCTGAGGGAAGAGCCGGCGCGAGTGCCGGGGAGGCGGCGCGGAGGGAGGGCAGCCCGGCTGCGGGAAGCGGGGCTCCGCGCTGGGACTGGTTCCTTCGCAGCCATTTTCCGTCCAACCAAACAGCCGATTTGCGGAGGGAGCCAACCAGGGCCGCACTGGAGGTTTGTGCCTGGCTCCGGCCAATGATTGGTAACCGGTTCCACTGCAGGCTCGAATGAAATGTCCGTCTCCCTCCCCGGGCCCCGGCGCTGCCGCCGCGCCGCCGCCGCGGGCACCAGGAAGTGCGGGGCGGCCGCCCCGGGCCCCGCACCGGCCGCGCGCCGCTTTGTGCGGCCTGGAGCTGCGGGGGCCGCGCGGCCGGGGAGCGGAGCGGGGCGGGCGGGCGGAGGGAGCGGAGCGGGCGGGCAAGGACGGAGGGAGGCGGCGGCGGGGGTGTCGGCAGGGCGGCGGGGCGCTGCCCCCCGCCGGTGTCCCGCTCTTCCGCGGGCCCCCACCCCCCGCCCGGCTCCCATTTTGCGGCCTAGGCGGGGGTGGGGGCAGCAGGCGGGGCTGCCCCGCGGCCGCCCGGCAGCCGCACGGCCCGCTATGGGCCGGCGGGCGCTCCGGGGCTCGCGCGGCCTCCCGCGATGTCCCCGCCGGCCGCGCTCGCCGTGCCCCGGGCCCGCCGCTCCCGCCGCTTTGTGGCGGCCGCGCCGCGCCGGGCGGAGGGGGCTCCGCGCTCTTTTGTGTCCGCCCGGCCGAGCCCCCTCCCTTCGCCGCGGGGGCGAGGGTCGGGACCCCCACCACGGCCCCGGGCCGGGCAGCGGGCAGCGGGGCGACAGCGGCCCGGCCGTGCCTCCTCGTGCCGCCTGCTCCGTTGTCGGGACAGAAATTTCCTGGAAGGTTTGGCGGCATTTTGCAGGGATGAGGAGCGGAGGGCGAGGCCCCGGGATGTGCTGCCAGTGTCCGGGTGGCGGTGCGGGCGGGAATACGAGGCCGGGCTGGCTGCGGGGGGCCCGGGCAGTGCGGGCGAGCGGCCCCGCAGGTGCGGCCAGCGCGGGAGTCACAGCCAAGGTGACCAACAATAAAGTTGCTGATTAACTGCGGACTCTCGTCTTGTTCGATTTGTAAACGAGGGGTCACGACAGATGAGTTGCCTAATGAACAGATGCGAGCCGGGTGCCGGGACGGCTTGGAGGCTGTGGGTGTAGGTGGGAAGGTTCCCCCCGTGCCCCTGCGCTGGCTGCGTTTGCATCATTGAAGGGCATGAAGTCGGGAAGTGGGATCGATCGGCTGGCACAGACACAGCCGGGTGACATCCACGCTTGTCCTGAAACACACGTGGCAGGCAGGGGAGAGACGGGACCCTGGTATTATCAATGTCCACGCAACTCGGGTGTGTTCGGCAGGTGTTTCTGGGCAGACCTGCGTGTGCCAGCCACTGTTCTGTCTCTCTGGAAACTATGTAGTTGGTGGTCCCGAAGAGTATTGTATAGGTTATTCACAGACAATCATATTGGGAAAAAAATGGGTATGTTCTGGTAATGTTTCTACAGCTATTAAGATAACACTGGTTATCCCCTTCGTGGGTCCTGCCACAATATAGTGGCAATAGAAAATCAACAGCTAGCTTTACCAATGTCTTCAAGGCTTAACCAAAAAGATTTTGTTCTGCAAAGAACTGTCATGTAAAAGCTACCTACTGTGCTTGAATTGCTTTTTCAGGAGGGCAGAATTATTGATGACAGTGACCTGAACATTTCTAGGCAGCGAGGAACATGGGTTTCAGCCTTTGAATGGACTCTGTTACGTCTAGTAAGCTTTGCTTGTCATCCTGGTAGATGGAAGTTTATTGTCAATTAAAAAAAATAATTGCAGCTTTCTCAAAAGCAGCTCTGGCGAAATGATAGCAAAAAGCAAAATGGCAGAAGCCACTTCGACCATTATTCACAGAATTTGCAGGAGTGGAGAAATGGTGTTTATACATAATCATTAGCATAGTGTTCCTAAACAATAAGCTTGTGATTGCTTTCATTTTCTCTTTGGTTATGTGGCCTATGGCATGACAGTTACAGTGCTAAGGGAGGATCCATCTGTAATTGTCTAGGACACCCAGGATGGTTCAGTCTGAATCATTATGAGGTCTGCCTGAGTCGCTTGAGCTCTGCATTGAGCGGGTTATTATTTATGGCCTTGGCAGCCGGCATTTACAGCCATGACATTATGTTTGAGAGAAGTCAAGAACACTGGGTATTACTCTTTACACTTCAGTATTTGACAGTTACAGCAGTTCAAAGCTTAACTCTTGTTTGTGATAATAACTACATGAAGGGAGGCAACATTCAGAGATGGAATAAAAAAGATTGTTCAAGATACTGTGAGGATACATAACATTAAACAGTGAAATTTTTAAAGTCTGATACCTTGTTTTCTCGGTATTTGAAAAAGGTTTGCAGGGCTCTTCTTTTGGTGCTTTCAAGTGAAGATCTCTAATGTCACTCCACCTTTGAGGTTTTGCTTAGAAAGGAATTTGACTGTTAGTACTGAGTTTTGCAATAGTACTTTGGAGAAACAGTATTTGGAAATTGCTGTTTGAGTGGCAGGATGCTTATAAAAAGGGCAAAACATGACTGTATATATATACCTACTAAATAACAGTAGAATAAAAGAAAGTGTTGGCAAATTCAATGGTTTTGGCTGAAAATACTTGTCTGGTCTGAACTAGCTCTGTAAAACTACTTGTCCAGTTGCTTGAGAGGAAAAAGCTTCTTGGCACACTTGAGGTACTACTGCAATGAAGGAAAAACAAGCAACTTACAAATGTTATCAAACTTACAAAAGAAAAAAGGATTTGTGGATTGATGATTTAATAAACAACAGCTTAGTTTTTCACAAATATTACTAGAAAAGTATCAAAAACTTCATATTGAAAGGTAATATGGAGATTTCAGTCGGGTTGCAGGCGGAAGGAGGTGCTGGTGCAGTCTGTTCAGCACTGCTGCCCTCTTCCAGCTTCTGCAGAAGCAACAAAACTGCCTCCGTTCCTCTGTTCATCTTGTTTATTTTCCCCTCCAGCTTCTCTCCTCTAGTGCCAAAAAGGAGAATGCGTGGAAACTCAGTTTCTCCTGCTTGCTCCATATCACTGATCCACTCCTACTTGATGTGAAAATACATGTGTTGTTAGTCCACCCATACGTGTTGGAGCTGTGCTTGTGGACGTTAGCCAGCCTGGGAAGGAGCCACCGTGTGTTCTGGCACAGCTGGATCCGTGTGGAGGGCACTTGGGGACATGGGGACTCATAAGACATAAAGTTGATAGGCTGTTACATGGAGGGGGAAGGTGGAAAGGTAGCAGTGCCCTGTTTGTGGTCCAGGGGAAGGAGTCCAGTGCAGCTGAAATGCTGATGAGCCTTAGTGATGCTGTGGGGTCCTCTCAGCATCAGTCTGCTTCTCCTAATGTTATTCTGCTGTGGGGGAAAACACTGAATGTGAGAGATTAGAGAAGCCTGAGAGAGGAGAGAGAGAACAGCATGTATTTGTGTTCTAGGCATGTGCTAAGGGATTTTAACTTTATGGTTTTGTGTGTCTGCCGGAGCAATGTCTCATGAATGCATTCACCAGCTGGCATTTCCTGCTGCAGGAGACATTGCCAGGTGAGAATTCAGTGGGGAGTTAGGTTCTCCAGAAGTCACTGAAAAGTAGAAGGAAACTAAAGTTGTATTTTCAATTGAAAAATTTTTAGCAGATGAGAGTGCAGAAAGCTCAAATAAAACTTTGTGTCTCTGCTGTTACGTACTGCTTCAGAGCTTTACATCCTATGATAAGGTGTGGCAAAAGTAATCCACAGTGACTGATGTGGTTCCTACCTACAGTTTGTTATGATTTCTGTGCTGCTGCTTTGGCAGAAACAACTGTGTGGAATGTGTGTCAAGTGCTTCAGTTCATTGCATTAAATTTTCTGCTGTCCCTCTTGTAGGGTAGCAGTTTAGGAGACAGGGTGAATAAATACCACATGAAGTGCTTAAATCACAAGAGGCCTTTGGTTCCCCTTCAAGAGATCAGTTTTGCAAATCATTGCCAGATAACTTCCCCATTCTTAAGATAAAAATCTTGTTTGTTTGATTCTTTTTAAATTTCTTTTTCCTTTTATACTGATCTAAGCTTTAGTCCCTTAGTCCCTTCTCCCCCTAAGTACTAACAGGTCTGGGCTTGCATTCTTTTTCAGTTATCATTTAGTTGAGCCACAGATAGTACTCTCTTATGATAGCTCATAAGATTAAACAGGATGCAAGATTTACTTTGAGATACCGAGGTTTTATTAGTTTAGTATAGACATGTTATAGGAACAGTCTGAGTTGTGGGCAGCTGACAGGAGCATGTTTTTTTAAGCACCCTTCAGAATATTTATACCAGATGTCAGCCTAAACCTGTATGTTCGTTCACTTGCATCTTATCACTGAAGTTTCTTTGATGTCTGAAGTGTTTCTCTTTTAACGTATTACTCAGGTGAATTTCCATGCATCAAGTAATTTATATATTCCTAGTAATATTCTTTTTCATTAAAGTCCCCCAAATTGAACAGAAAACCACTAGCAGAAAACTTGGTGCTTCTGATCTGTATTCAGGTATTTTTTTTACGGTGTAGTGCTGAATGTTTGTTTCCTGTTCTTCCTTGTTTTCTCTCCCTGGTTGTCAATAAAAATCAGATAGTGGCGTGGTCATTTTAGAGACTGACATATCACTTCTGATATGCTTAGCTCTCAGTCTTTATTCAGTCCATGTGTATTCATGGAGGAGCTTCAGTGTTTTCCTAGCACTGGAGGCTGAGGATAATGTCCAATATGTAGTAGGTGTATGCAGTCTGCGCTTTGAGACCGAGGTGTTGGAAGCCTCTTCCCTTGTGCAATTCAGTGGCCACACAGGGGTAGGAAACGATTTTGTATTAAAAGACACTGCAGTGTCTGTGTGCTGAAACTGCCATGCAAATGGCATGTGTAATCTGCAAACGGGCTACTTGTTTTTGAAGCAAGCTGTAACAACTCCAGGGGCTAAAGCAAAGTCCGAGTGGGGAGTTCTTGCCCATCTGGACCTTTTAGGATTAGATCTCCCAGGAGATCTGTCCATGAAATTTAGCATCCATTTCCATCCAAAGTGGTAGCTCTTCCTACTAAACGTGCCAGCATAAGAACTGTTGTCCTTTTAGTCTCCCAGTGACTGTAGTTAGTGTAAGGCAGGGTGTTGTTTGTGTGTTACATTGGACTGTTGCCTTTCTCGAGTAACTTCAGGGACACAAAGTTTAGTTTGTTTTGTGGCTTTGGAGGTTTGTTTGTTTGTTTGTTTGTTTAAGGGAAGGTGATTAATTAGCAGCAGTGTATTGAGAGCAGTGTTTTCCTGTTTTCTGCGCCCTGCTGTGTGTACTACAGACCTTGTGCTGAGCTTGGCGATCACGTAATGTGACTGACTTCTTTTGAACGTCTGAAGTTAAAACTGTAGTACATGAGCGTGTAACTGTGTTGATTATGAGATGACCAGGATAGCAATGGCCACAGCTTTCTGCAAGGTCATGTTTGTGTCATCCATCAGGCTCAAAGAAATACTAGTAGGGTGACTAGAAGGTGTATTAATTACAGTTGCTATATTCAGATGCCTAGGTCTAGATTTGACCTAAATGACAAATGTGGCTGAAGTTCTTCCATCAACTTACTTGGATTGAAGTGGTGTGCAGGGATACTGCTCCTTTTCTCATCATGAGGCCAGACAGGGTACGGAGGGGGCTCATGGGGCAGCTGGGCATGCTCTGGCTGTGGGGGTCTTCAGGATGGATAATGCCCTGGGTGATCTGCTCTGAGCTTGGAGCTGACCCTGCTTTGAGCAGGGGTTGAAGTAGAGAGACCTCCCAAGGCCCCTTCCAACCTGAATTATCCTATGATCCTGGATTAGGGCCTGGTTATGCAGAAGGGTGTTACGCTGTCCATAATCTCCTGTCCCAAGGTTGTCCTGGCAGCTAAAAATCTTTCTTAAAGTAATACCGACAGAAGTCATTTCAGTTGATACTAAGTTGTCAGTGCCTTTTTTCTTTATCTGAGTCAGATCTGCCTTTTTCTGTTGCAAGCCTTTTCCTGTCAATTTTGCTAATCACTGTTTTAGATTCATGATGTTGATAAGTGTTCACACAAATTCCCACAAATGGTGAAATAATAAACACTGTAAGTAGATCTGGAAGTGTGCACACATAAAAGAATAGAAGCAAAGATGGTACCTTGAGGATGCATTAGTCTAATGTGGCCAAAACTGTCTGTAGATGCAGCAGAGGTTTAAAAGAGATTCAAGCAGGAATTGTCTTTTGACGGTGGGCTGGGCTAATGAAAGCAAGATGGTTTCTTAAATGATGTTGATGGGTTTTGACAGTAAAGGTTCAGATGGGGTAGCCTGCAGGAGGAGTGAGCAGAAACCAGTGAATTATTACATCACTGAAGAAATTTGAAGAATATTGCAATTGTAAAGGAAGAAAATATTTTAGAAGATATGTTTCATAGGAGACTAAAACAGGAAGGGGAAAGAAAGATCAAGGTATGTAAAATGGTACTGGGGCTGAGTAAACTTAATGCTTAAAGATTGTTGAGATCCTATGTTAAATTCTAGTACAAATCAGAGAGCTGAAACAGAGAACAAGACTGCCAGAAAATCCTAACTTTACAATGGAGGTAGCTTTTGGGATTTACCAGACTGCAGAATGTTAATTGTTTATAATTGCAGAAGGAAGAGAGAGAGACAACTCTCTTAATGTTGTGTGATGTCAGATTTGGTAATCTTGACGTGCAGGACTATGATATCCTTGCATTGTCATTACAGTAAGCTGAGTAAGCAAACTGCAGACCCTTTGGAAAATTGAAAAGCAAAGTTAAATCTCCCAACGAAGAGTCTATAAAATGCAGACAAAGTGAATTTATGTGAAAGTTGGCACATAGAAGGCTAATGCCTAAAACAGTACCTTTCCTTTCGGCAGAGATGCTGTGTAGAAGTGAAACTGTTTTACAGAAGCCTATCAAAAGGGACTAGTAGTTCTTTTTAAAAGTGTCTGTGTGTGTGTAATACTCTGTACAATAAAGAAGAGGTGGAAGGGTTGGTTTTTCTCCTGAGCAGCTCCTAAGGCTACATCCAGCTGTTGTAGTATTGCCTGAAATATGAGCAGTGCTCGGGTTACTTGTGCGTCTGTGGCCAAGTGTAACACCGGACGTTGCCTGAAGTTTTGAAAGCAAAACTCAGGCTTGTTGCCACAGTCAAAGTGCAGATTAGAGAGAGGTTAAATGCTCATATTTCTGGGTAGGTATAAAAATAACACCATGATGCTCCTTCCTGCCTCTCCCTCTCCAGGCTAATGTTTGCGGAAAGAAGTGAGCTGTGTGGTCTCACTGGCCATGACCATGTGACCCTTTTGGGCAAAGGTTGCTGTCCAAAGACACCGGGGACCTGCTCAGCTGGTGTAGGACAGCGAGTGAATCCAGCCAAGTTCTGCCTCCCTGGGGCCTGTGTGTGTAGCTTGTCAGTAAGAAGGAGAGAGATACTGGCTCTTTAGGCTTCCCTCTCTCTCCTGGCATTCAAACTACCTACTGGACTGTGACCCTATCTCCAAAGCCTCAAGAAGAAGTCTTCTTGTTGGCCACCATGTCAGAACATTGAGAGAGGAACACTGAAGGATGCCCAGAGGAGTGAGGCAGGGCAGGACCAGGGAGTGGAAAGGAAAACAACTCAGAAGGCACACAGGGGTGAGTGGTGTCTCAAGGAGGAGGAAGATGCAGAGCTGGTCCTGAGATCTGGCTAGAAGAAGTTTGTCAGTGGGCTTGCCCAAAGCTATTTGTGTGGAGGGTAAAGGTGAGTGAAGGATGCACTCTGTGGTAATTAGTAGGTAAAGCATTCAGTGAGCAGGGGCCTGGTATAGGTTTTGAGGGTTGTTTCAGAGAAACAGACGTCTTGACCTGTTCTGGTCAGACCCTCCTGGGAACACAAGGTTGCTGTATATGAAACAAATGGTTCTGTGCATGGCCTGTGCCTCTGGGTGAGCTCCTGGGGAAGCCTTACAAAACAGTTTCACTATTTCCACTGTCTGTAAAGCTCAGTAACAAAGGCAGGGATGCTGTTCTCAAATGACAAAGCATTTATGCTTTGCAGAAATTGGTCTAACAGTTTTAAGTTGATTAATGTGCTGGTTTTCAGTAACAGCTCTACTTAACAGTTTTAACAATCATACCTGAAAGGTTTCCTCCCTCTGGTTGTAGATGGATGGTGATAGCTCCACGACGGATGCTTCTCAGTTAGGAATTGCTGGAGATTACATTGGTGGCAGTCACTACGTGATACAGCCTCATGATGGTAAGAAATGTTACAGTGAATATAGTACTTCTCTGTGACTGTGTGTGTATATATGTACATTTCCTTCCAGTTCTTGTATAGTTCTCTGCTGTCTTTTCTCAAGCTGAGAATCTGCAATTGTTTGTATTCATAATGCCTCTCTGTATAAAGCATTTTTTCTGCAGTCTGGAGGGTGGATTTTTCAATGTTGGCACCAAGACCTTGAGGTGATGACAAAAAACACTGACTTTCTAGGAAACAGTTTGTATTTTGACATGACACTAAGAATACTTGATGGTCAGCAGCCATGTACATTTCTGTGCATAATGAGATAAAGATTATATGTTTATAAAGGTACCCTGATGTTGCATCTATTTTTTAAATTATTTTGATGATGTTAATGCACTGTGCTTTCAAAGGACTTCATCCTTCAGTGTAAGATTTTAAACTGACTTAATTATTGCCCGCTGTCTATCAAATACCATTTCTGTTAACTTTTCTTTATTTCATTAGACACAGAGGACAGCATGAATGATCATGAAGATACAAATGGCTCAAAAGAGAGTTTTAGAGAACAAGATATATATCTTCCAATTGCAAATGTGGCAAGGATAATGAAAAATGCCATACCCCAAACAGGAAAGGTAATACCGTTGTCTGTTAAAGAAAATGTGTTAATGAGTTTTATTCCTTCCCCTCAGTGAAGTTGAGCTGGTAGAACAATATATTTTTCCAAGTGATGCTGGTTTATTGGATAAAAGCCTTGTAAAAGAAAAGGGGAAAAAAGGCAGCAGGAGGTAATTGAGACCAAGTCCACTTTTGTTAGGTTTCTGGAAGCTTTGAGTAACCACTATAATTAGAGCATCCAGAACAGTGTTCTTCATAGGGCTTTCAAGAGCTTTCTTTTTCTAGCATGTATTCTCTGAAACTGTTGTAAAGGATGAGACTTGGTGACAATCCTGTATCACTATTTCCTATGCAATTCTCTCAAGAGACTTAATCTGCTTTTATTGAGGTGCATAAAATTTGGAATAAGTGAACCATTTTGGATGAAATAAAAATCTGATCCTCATCCTGAAGAAAAGAGAGTGGTTAGCCTTCCATCACCCTGATTTTTACATACCTATATGCCAGTGACCTAGGAATTCTGCCTTATACCATGTAGCAGATAAGGCCAGATACTGAAACCCTTGTTTTATTTCTTACTTCTAAGAATAGACTTTTTAATCCATTCTGCTGAGCTGGTGGATTGTTCTACCTGTTTGATTGTTCTACCTGTTTATCTTAAACCTTTGCAGGGCTCCTATTTCTTGCTGTTTCTCCATTGTATTCCAATTCCATCCTAGCTAAAACTGAGGGGTTTTTTTGGGATCACTCTAAATAGAAGGAAGACATAATTTACTTGCATCTGCTTGTACTTTCATAGTGTTCAGGGCTTTCTGGAGATCTGAGTGTTACATTTATAACTTTGCTGTGAAAAACTCTACCCTAGTCCATATTGTCATAAATTTTTATCAAGATGAGATTTTTCTCAAGAATTTAGCATATGGGATGTAGAGCTATCTTGAAAAATCAGGCTGTTTTTTTTGTGAAAAACTGCAAGGGAAGCTGCTGGCTGGTGACTTCTGAAAATCTCGCCCTATGTGTCTGAAAATACCAGAGGAACCGGTGAAGGTTCTGCATACAATTACTGCATCTTTTTTTTTTTTTTTTTAAATACAAATAAGGTTCTTCTCATGTGAAAAATCAGGATCTTAATTATTAAAATCTTCCCAAGTAATCATGAGTAATGCTTGCTGTAATTTTAAGTCATGTAAATTACTTTTGTCCAGCTGAAAACAATAATCAAATGTACTTATTTTATTCTTGCCTCGAGCATATGTTTCTTCATTTGAATTCTCATTTGGAAAATTTATACCAGAATATTAAAGCATTAGAAAGGCTTCCTGCTAGGCATATATTCTAGTCCCTGAATCTGGTCAGGATAAAAATACTTGTCATTGCTGAATTTGTGGGAACCTACTGCAGTGGAGTTGGAACTGCTGGGTCTCTTAAAAGGAAGATGGAAGTGGGCTATGACATTGTAATGAACAGATTTAAAGAGGCATAGGTAAGCAAAGCAAGCAGTACTGAGGTCCATCTATGTGTAAAAGCTTGTACAGAACATAGTTAGGACTCTGAGAGATCCCGACAGTTGTCTGTCCAGGCTACTTGAAACAGTAAAACACGGGTAAAATCGCATTGCAGATGTTCTTACATAGAGCAGTGATGACATCCAGTGACTCCCTGTACAGGTGTTGCCTAATTGGGTATCATCATTAGGTTTTGGGATGCTTCCTGTATTATCTGGTGTATTCTTTGAGGGTTTTTTTGGTGGATTTTTTAAAAATCTTGCATCTTAATTAATAATTTTATGATACTTTTTCCTTACTAGATTGCGAAGGATGCAAAGGAATGTGTACAAGAGTGCGTAAGTGAATTCATCAGCTTTATAACATCAGAAGCAAGTGAGAGGTGTCACCAAGAGAAGAGAAAGACCATCAATGGGGAGGATATTCTCTTTGCCATGTCTACATTGGGGTTTGATAGCTATGTTGAACCTTTGAAGTTATACCTCCAAAAATTCAGAGAGGTTGGTATATACTTGGCTATTTCCTCACTTACTTAACCTGGTTGTGTTTATCCCTAGCTCTCTGTCATTGTAGTTGTGTAGCAGGTAACTTGAAAAGCATTCCAGAGGATTTCAAGAGAAAAAGGAAGAAGTAAGCATTTTGATTAGAATTGCTGATTCAGAGTAGTTCAAGCTTTCAACTGAATAAATTATCTAATATATTTGTGGTGGTAAATTGCTCTGTTCTTTAAAGATGCCTATTAAGAATGTTGAATTTGCTCTTTGGGTTCAGTCAATAAAACTGTGCTTGTCTACATCCTCTGTGGAAGTAGCCTAATGCCTTTTGTTTGTCTGGACTTCAGATCTGCAAGAGAAAAATTGTTTTTTTCATGCCAGTATAATGACTCACATGGAAGCCTATCCGCTTCAATGGGTTTTTTAATTATTCCTTTTTTTCTAGCCTGTCTCTTGGTTTGCTTTTGATGCACAGTATCAAAAGTAGTAGATAGTATGTGCTAGGTATGAGATCCAAGCAGTTTCATTTATCCCTTCTCTAGCAGAAAGTGTTTTCCTTTCAGCAATTTAGACTTTTTGAAAAAGGAAGTTGCTTCTGCTTGAGTTTTTTTGTTCTGTTCTGCCTCCCCTGTCTAAATTGGCGTTGCTATAGATGGGTATGCTCTTCAGAGTTTCTTTGTTTTGTAGACCTAAGGTTTTTTTAATTAATGGGGTCAGACACACTAATGATATTTGATTTGCTGACAGCACTTAAAGCTTCCCTTTCCCAGAAGGTCATTTGCTGTGATAACTCAGTAACAGGAGGGGTAATCTAAAAGCTGAAGTACTGCTGTGTACTGTCTTTTTCCAGTGCTGTGTAGCAGTTGCACATGCTGTGATAGTGCTGTATGTGCTTTAATTAAAAATGCAAGTATTGCCTAGCTAGTTTCACTACTACTGAAGAAGTCTGAAATCTATGCCACTTTCATTCTTAATTGACTGTTTTTGCAGATTATGTATGCTGTGGCAGCAGAGTAGTTGGATTGTGTTTTAATTGGATGGGTAAATCAGATAGCGTTGCTCATCAGTTTTAAATCTCCATTCGAGCTAGGGTGTCTTCAGGGTACCATATACAGTGAAATATTTCTGTTTTGTAACTGAGTATTTAGTCTGCAGCAAGCACTTGCAGAGAATACTTTTTATGCCCATATTATTTTCTTAGATGTTTTTATGTAATAGCAGAAAGCATCAAACTTGTAAAACTGCATGCAGATGACTGGGGGCCTTGGCTTTCTGTGCCAATATACCTTCTGGCTGTAGTCCTTGATGTGGGAAGTTCAATATCTTGGTTTTAAATGTCAATTCTTAGTTGTATGGTGATGGTGCCTGTGTGTGGTTGGTAAGCAAATATTTAACATTCTTGGTAGTTCTGAGATTCTGTGATTTCTTGTAAATGCTCTTAACCGCTCTGCCTGGATTACCACAGATCTTTGGCTTTCTGCAGAAGGTGAAAAGCCTTTCCTAGAACTACACAGTCCTAGTTTGCCAAGTTTTGGGTTCAGGAGTATGGCTAAGATGAAGGACACTCTTGTAGTATGCACGTCCTCAAATCCAGTAGAGTTTACAGGTCTTGGATTTCAAGCTCCAGCTGCTGCACAGTGACTCTTCTGCAAGTTCCAAATGTTGACTAGAGCTCCTGGGGCTTTGAAAAAATCTCAAGCTTTTTTTTTTGTTGTTGTTGTTGTTTTGTGCTGTCTCTCTCTCTAGGCAATGAAAGGAGAAAAGGGAATTGCGGGAACAGTTACAACTGGAGACGGCCTAAGTGAGGAGCTCACAGAGGAAGCATTTAGTAAGTAATACTTTTTAATTTATTATGTTATTACTACAGCTTTTATAAAAACAGCACTTCCTTTAGACATCAGAATTCTTACTTGAGGAATGTATCCTGGATTGGCCACATGTTACACCTGTAATCCACTGAGATTTTTGTTTGAGATACCTGTGCTCAGATAAACTCAGGTCATATAGTGGTAAATGATGACACTCCAGTAATAGCTAATATCAACTGTGGAAGATTTTTAAATGCAGATATTAGTGCTAGTATTTTCCTCCACACTTAAACACAGATTGTAATGAAAGGTGCAAACTTCTTCTTTTTCCCCAGTAGCTACATATTTAGGCCACATTCATTCTACTTGCAAGACTGTTGGGGGGAAAAAGTAAAATAAACTCCACTTGACTTTAAGGAGCTCATCTTTGAGAAATGAAGCAGAGAAGAACTTCATCTTCATAAAATTCTAAAATACTTGGTATTTTTTACCTTTGAAAGAATGCATAGACTGGCAACTAAACGGTGTAGGGCAAGGAGCATCATATGCATCCACTGTAGTTCTTCTTCCTTATACTGTGAATTAGAGCCTGACAGTTGTAGGGATTTGCACTGGTTTTGTTGATGCTGGATTCTTGCATGTAGTCTTTACCTTGCCTTTTAAATGTTAGGGGCTGTTAATGTTGAAGTTGATAAAAGAAGAATTAGGAAGCGCAGCTCTAGTCATATCTACTGATAAGATTTAGTTTTTGAGTATCTGATAAATATTCTGTTTCAAATCGCTGCTGAACAATCAAAAAAATCAAAGTCTGAGGACTCAAATGACCTATTCAGGGTCAGAAACACACTTTGCTCCCAGTTTGACTTTAGGTGTATAAAACAGTACAGATTCTTCAGGTCTCTTTCAGCCTGGAAGATAAGCTCATAAAACTAGCTCAAAACTAAGAATCTGAATTTAAATATTGCAGTGGACTTAAAGAAAGCTTTATTTTTTTTAATATGACCCTTTTAATTTTATAATTAAAGATTAGGCAATGCAAATACTAAAATCTTATCCGTAGTCACTCATAGATAATACCTCTGTTTGTTCTGAAGTAGTAAGAGATTATCACAACTGGGGGCCCTACTTGCTTTACCTTGGGTATGTTGCTAATGGTTTTCTAGGTTGCAGCTGTTTGGAGTCTGTCCAGTTCAGAGGCTTGTTAAATCAATATATAGAAATTGTTCTAAAAGCTTTATTTCGTGCAAATACTGATTTGTATTTGTGTATATTCTGATTTTCGCTTCAAGCATCTAAACTGCTGTTCAAGAATTGAGGGAGAATATGTAGCTGGAAACTTCCCATTGTGTCTATGTCCAGTATCTTGTTTTACAGGGGCAAAGAGGCAAATTCACAAAAAGTTTCTTCTCCTGATTCTCATGGGCTGCTTAGTCTGAATACAATGCCGACCAGAAAATAGAATCCAAAATCAAGGAATCACCTTACTCTGTGGATCCTCTGTCCCCCTCCCAGATCTGATGTGGTCTGTTAAGCTTCAGAAGGCTGAAGGGCTGCTCCTAGTTCTTTTTCAGATACCTCAGGCCTAGGAGCCTCAGAGTGCTCTATAAAATAAACCTCAATTTGCTGTGATTTGAAAAGAGCAACTTTAGAAATTAAGTCCTGGCAAGATGCAAAGGAGATGTTGCAGTAATAGAAGAAGAAGGTAAAAAAAATTTATGTGAAATAGCTGACCATGTCAAGTGGTGCAGGTATTTCTCTCCAGAGGGGCAGCTATAGATCTGTCCAGAATGATGGTCTCACTGCAGCAGTAGCAGTGACAGCTGTGCTGCTGTAGCACAACCCTCAGCTCTTTGTTTTAGCCTCACATCAGGGCTGGGTCAGAGGCTTGCCATTAAGCTGTGTTGGATGTGAAACATGCAGATTGAAGGGCAGTAAATTTTAGACCTGCCAGAGCCACTCTCACTATGATCTTAATGCATCTTTTAACTTGGAACTGAAGTAGCTGAAAATTTGTACAACGGAGGAGGAAATAAAAAGAAAATAAGGGACAAAACCCCCAACCAACCACAAATCCAATTACAAAGCCCTCAAGCATCAGCTTTCAAATGAAAACTGTTAGGATTATAGTGTGTTTTCAAAATGTTTTATGGGTTATACGTCTTGTTTATACTTAGTGACTGAAAGAACAAAGCCCCATTGTTTGTGTCCTAGAGGAAAATATTATGTTACAGTGACTCAGAATTTAGGAGTTTTGCTACTTTGCTTCCAAGTAGCAGTTGTAACATACCTGCTCTGTCACAGAGCTCAGTGTACACTGTATTGTGAAGGTTTATGTTATAGCATCACTCCCTGTGTCTTCTCTCTGTATTTAAGTACTCTTTACTCCTTTTGTGAAATTCAGAGCTCTTGTGCATACCCTGAAGGACATGCTGAAGTCAGCCAGTGTAACGTCAGGCTCTGGCAGTGCCTTTTATTTTTTGCCATTGCCTGTCTGTTCATTTCTGCTGCCTTCCACGAGGCTCCCGTATTATGGAGTTCCTGATGGATGCCATTGTGTAAAGCAGCATAACCATTTCACTGAGTTCCTCACACAAGGGTATGCTCAAGTGCCAACCAAATCCAACTGAATTCCCTAGGTTTCTTGGGTATCAAGTGCTGGAGATTGCTTTTTCAGTGGTCAGGATGGCCACTCAGCTCCACTGGCCAGTGTACAGCTGTGGATGTTCTACTTTAGACACATGCAGGGCAAAATCAAGGTGCTGTCTTACTTTTAGATTATCTGATGCAAATTTAAGTTGAATTTTGTTTCTTAAGTGGTTCTTCTTAATGGAAAGAAACTTGTTTACTTATAACACTTGGTAACAAGTGTGTCTTACATGCAATGTGGGATGGTAGCTGTCAGGAGATGAATGGCTCCATAGCCATGGAGTGGAACACAATTAAAGGTTATTTAATGGTGACAGACACACTAAACAAGGCTCTGCATACCCAGCAGCTCCTGTCTAACTTTCTTAAAATATTCTTTTTTTCAGCTAACCAGTTGCCAGCAGGCTTAATAACCACAGATGGCCAACAGCAGAACGTTATGGTCTACACAACATCATATCAACAGGTACTGTACCCCATCCCCTGCTCTCCTTTCTGCTGCTAAAACTCAAACATTAATTCAGCTGCTCTGTTCTGAAAGATGAGAATGGATTTTATTTTGTCCTTTGGTGGTGGCTGTGCTGCCATTTCAGCACCACTGCTGCAACACAGTTTCAGAAAAAGTGCATTTGAACGTAAACTTGCATTTTCTTTCTCTAGATCTCCGGTGTTCAACAAATTCAGTTCTCATGATTTCGAAGAAAACTTTCTATCTGGGAACATGAGACGGAAAACCTGTGCAACTCTAATGAAGAGGCAGTTTTAATGACTGGTGAAGAGATTTATCTCTTTGTATATTAAATAGCTGTAATGTAGCTACCAGAAGCTTGACTAATTGAGGTGTGAGTTCTGACTCAAATCTTTTTCATGATGATTTTAAAAGAAATAATTGGATTTTAAAGGTATTAAAGTATTTTTGTTTTGTACAAGAGTTTGTTGCTCTGTATAACTCCTGTATGCATTGTATATTGCAATTTATTACTGTCAGAGATTTGTAGACAGTTTCTTATTTTCATATTGAATCATGTTACTTTTGTAATTCAGGTAAACAGCTGGGTTAATTCATGTTTACCCTTCGAATGAAATTGTAAGGGTAAAGTTCATTTTTGAATGCAAGTTGCCTTTATTATAAAGATTGAGTTGGTCTTGGTTATGTAACTTGTCTTGCATGACAACCTCAACTAACTTTACATGTCAGCATATTTATTGAAATTTTGAAAGGGACTTTTTCCTCATGAAACTAGCAGCTGAAAAGAATTGCTACAACTGTTTTTTTAATGTAACTTCTGAATTAAAAGTTAATCAAAACCAATGAATGCTCTACTACATTTAGAGGCTTAGAGCTTATCAACAGTGTTGAAAGCACTGACTGTGTGTGATGCAGGTTTTGGTTTTTTTTTTTCAGTTGCATTAACTCTCCTTTAACTTACTTTGATATTTTTAAGGTGGTCTTTCTGCCTTCCTTTTTACGTATGGTTTTTAGAATCCAAAACTTAGAAATCCAAGGCTAGTGGGGGAGGGGGGGGATTTTATAGTCCTTGTGGTAAAAGATCTCATTTTAACTTTTTACTGAAATGTTTTAAGGTTTCTTGTGAGACTGTGGGAACTCAAATGTGTTAGTGACTTTCTGTGTACAGGCTGCCTGTGTGTGTGTGTGTGTGTGTGTGTGTGTGTGTGCGTGTGCAGGAGTGCCTGAAACTTGAACAAGTGATACAAACCTGAAATGGAAGACAGACTTCTAGTTTGCTGTCTCTTTCCTGGTTTTGCAATAAACTCTTCCTGGGTAATGTAGTTCTTTATATTTAGTGAGCTGTTCTTGGTAACATTTCTGTTTCTTTAATAGTGGGGTGGGTAATTTTTGTTGCCATGTCTTAGCCTGTTAGGGTAAGGGTGGGGGTTTCAGTAATATGTCTTACTCAGACTGAATTTTGGGACCTTTGATATTTTTACTGTTTGCAGTGGACTAAGATGTAATATAATAATTATCTTTCCACCTACCTGTCGTTAATTTAAGCAAACCACAACTTGAACCTGTTGCCATATAATTTCTTGCTGGTTTTGTCTTTTCTGAAAAAAGAAAAAGGAAAAAAAGAAGTAACAGTTCAATATTGGGAAAATAGCTTAAACTAAGACATCCTGGAAGCCTGAACTAGGCAGTTCTTTGCTAAACAAAAATTTTATGTGTGTGCAGATTTAAACAGTGTTTCTTACATGTCAGCATGGTGCTGGCAGAGCCTCTGGAGGTGATCCAGTGTATTCTGTGGCGGTCTGGACGGATGTTCTGGGTTTTGTGGCAGCCTGTCATTCCTCAGCAGCTATGACTGAACAAATGGAGTTTTTCATTAAATGTAAAAATTGAATAACACAATCCCTCCACGAGCCCCTTCTGTTTGTATTCCATTTATTTCAGGGCAGCATAGCCTGTTCTTGATGTTCCCGGATTTGCAGTGGAGAAAATCTCTGATACCAGCTAAGGAGGAAGCTAGGAGAGACTTGGCAGTTGGAAGTGCAGGAAGGGGGCTGAGGTGATTCCATTCCACACATTTGCTTGGAACAAGCAACACTTTTCAGTCTGCCCCCTCTTCTGTGAGTTTAGGTTAAAGTGTTTTGAGTTTGTGGTATATTCACCATCACGTGAGCAAAGGAGCATCTTTCTTTTTTCTTTCTTCTCCTCCTCTACCCCAGAGGTCCAGGCACAAAACTGCAGCCAACTTGCTCATTCACTTCTGAAACTACATAAACAGAAGTAATAGTGCAACACTTTGCTCCATCTCTCTTTGAAACCATTCTAATGAAGTCTGCAGGGTACTGTAGTGATGGTACAAAAAATAAAACAACTGTGGTCTGAAGAAATACTTGCCTAATTTATATTAGGCACAACCACTGCAGAGCTTTTATTTTTAACAACTGATATGTGCTCTCACTTTTTAAGTATTCCAAGTTTACCAGTAGCTTAGACCCAAACCAATAATGACCATTCCTGCTGCATCTCCTGTGTTTCTACAAAACTGCTGTATTTGGTTCTCTGAATGTTGTGTTTGAACTGACATAACCACAAACTGAGCTTGCGCTCGAGACAGCTGTGGCAGCCCATGTTGAGAAGTGGAGAAAGGCTGCTTGCAACAAAAGCGATGTTCAAAGATCTGTTTCCAAGCACAGTGACTTTTTTTAGGTAGCTTTTCATGACACAAGCAGATTTTACCACAGTGATTTTTTTTTTTTAAAGGAATTTCTGTGTAACTTGATCCTTCTGGCATCTCTTTATTGAGTGCTTGTGGTGTCTTTAAAAGCACAAAATCACTGTTATCTCTGGTCAAACCACAGTTATGAGAAAAGCTGATTTAGATGGTGCTTTTCTACATCCCCTTTTCATTACAGGCTTAACGGGAGCTGAGGCTCTGCCTTTACCAGTCTTGTTGGTGTACATAGGCATTGTTTACTATTTTATTTATTCCTCTCTTCTGATCTCTGCTGAATGCTAAAATATGTGGCTGGATGATGTAGCCAGAACACAGATGGAGTCCTGGCATGAGGTGGTACATTCTAAATATCTACTGACCCATGCTTATCTGCCTGTAGGTAAAAATCAGCCTGAATTATGTGGGCTGTACTTCAAATAGCTGTCTTCCTTGAACTGCACCCTGATATGCTGTGAATCATGTCAGATTAGTAGATGATCCCTATTGCAGTGTCAGGATGATGCTCATTAACATGTTGCAAGCATATATAGGTGATTTCTCTCTTGCCTTTGGCAGGAGAGGAAGCATATGGGCAACTGCACACACAGAGGAGATTGCTCAGTGCGGAGCAAGGGGGAGAGCCAAGGGCTAGTATTTTCCCCAGCACTTTGCTGTCATGATAAGAGTTGGCAGCAGCCTTGCTTATAGCTATAATATTCCTCATTTTGCAGAGCTCTGAATCGATTAATGTTCTAGTTGTCACGTAGGCTCGCTGCTTCGGTTACAATTACAGCAATAAGAAAAACTCGCTTTTAAGTCACTGTACTCCCAAAATGGTGCAGGCTTAACTTTTTTCAGTTTTGATTTGTATCAAGTATAGTAAAAGAAAGGATGATTTTCACTTAAATTTGAAGTGAATTTTCTTGTGTCTGTGGATGAAAAAACCACACCCCTGTATGTAGATTCTAAGATTAATAATGCTGTAGGAAAACTACATTTTGCACAGGGCCCAAGCAGCCCTGTAGGAAGAAGTTAAATATTGATAATTTGATTAACAGTTACTCTTACTGTTCTCCTGTCAGACTGGTTTGGTGGAAACAGCAGTGATGGGAGGATGCCTTTTGGATGTGGTACACTTTAAGATGTATCTCATTGAAAATACAAACCAATTCCTCCTCTTCAAAAATCAGATATGCTGTTCTGGCAAAATAATTCACACTTTAGTCCTTTAAAAGGCTGAAAAAATACATTCAAGCAACCAAATATTGATCCGCTTACCTATTGATTTGTGAAAATGGGATGATAATGGAATGCAGCATCACCTCTGACCCTCGCTATGTAAAAGTTTAATGGGAAGCTCTCTGGAAACTGCCAGTTCAGCTTGTGGTGACATCCAAGGCCACGTGCTCTTGGGAGTGAGGGCAGTTTGCTCCTGTGCACAGTGGTATCCAAATTGGTTCCAGCTGCACTGAGTTTATTAAGTCAGGGTCTCCAAGGATGGCTTTGGAGGCAGGGCCAGAGGTGAGCCTGTGCACAGCAGTTTGGAGGGAGTTGGCTACCCTCGTGTAAGAAATCTCCCAGGCAAATTTCCAGGGTCATTTCCTGGAATATTTTACTGCAGCAGAGTGGGCCAGTGGATCTGTTTATCAGGAGCAGTGGCACCTGATTTGCTTTTGTATGAAAGAGAACTAGTGAGGGTTTAAATCTGCTGGGCAGAGGAGCATCCCTGGGGCTGCTAATCTGGTCTTTGTGTGCCTTACAGTTAATCTGGCACAGCCCCTGCAGTAACATGAACAGCAAATAAAACCACCTCCCAGCAGCACACCTGAGACTCACAGTTCAGGTGTAAGTGCTGTGTCACTCCAAGTACAGCTGCAGCTCGAGCATGGCCACCATGCTATGCAAAAGCAAATTAGGAGGAGTATATACTATTTTCACTTCTCTCTGCACCCTGTGGGAAGACAAACAGTTGATCCCAGCAGAGTTTATGTCCCATCACTGTCGAGAGCAACATAGCACAGATAAAGGGTGCTGGGATGCACAGGTTTGTTTCTGCAGCATCCAGCTCCTTGGCCCCAGCCATGAAATCCAAAGCCAGCCAGATGCCCGAGTTCCCTGTGTAATGGAACATACCAGGAAAAGCAACCTGGTGGGCAGGGAGAGGCCTGGAGCCAGCTGACAGGAAAGGCTAAGCACTGAGGGAGAAGGAAAGGATCCAAAAATCTCACCTCCAGCCAGCTGGAGAACATTTCTGCTACAGGGAAACAGGCTCCATCACTTAGGGATGAGAAAACGGGGCCTGGGGAGTGTTGCATCAGCGGACGAGTCTGCTCTCACTCCATTCAAAACCATGAGTAACAGCCACGTTTGACAAACCAAGCAGCTGAAACTCATCCAAAATGTCTCTGGAGTGGATGCAGTGGGATCAAGCTCTGTACCCATCTGAAAAAGAAATATTTCAATAACTGGCCATTTTCTCTGACTTGACAGCTCCCACGTTGCCTCAGATGACTCAGCAGCACTTTTCTACAGCAACTTCATCTTCCTAACTTTCTTCAGTAGTCTTTCAATAATAACTACATAAATATTCTGCATTTACACTAAAACATTTATGCTGTAACATAAATAGGTGAAACCTCAAACTGTTAGATCAATATTTCAAGTCTTCTTTTTTTTTTCAAGACAGTAATTTCAGAGAGTTGCTCCCAGACTCCATTTTCCTTATGGAGCAGACAGCATTTAAGGTTGACATAAAAGTCTTTTCCCTACTCAGGCAAAGTACAATGAAGAAATAATTACAAAGCTGCTACTAAAAAGAAAAATTTGGGAATATTTCTTGATACTGCACAAAGTTGCAAGGTGCTACTTGTACCAAATAACTTATGTTAAAGGAGAACTATCAGCACTGCACATAAGAGAGTGATGGTTACTCTAAAAGGCAGTTAAGAGTCCCAGACCATAAACATTTAAATGAGGGAATGCAAACAAAAAAAAGAGCATGTAAACAAAACAAAGGAAATATTGGTTTTGAACCTTCTAAAATGGCATATACCCAGTGTGCCTCTTTTAAGAATCACTTAGAAATAACTATATTGATAACTTCCATGTGTGGATAATAGTGTTTTGTAATTTCAACAGACACAGAAATAACTCAGAACACTGGGACACACTGAAATGCTTCGTCGCTCTTTCTCTTTGAAGATACCACATCCAAGCCTTGGTTTTCATTTTAAGGAGCTGCTGTACCAACTTAGCAATTATGTCATATATTAAAAGCAGATGGTTGTGAGAGGCAAGAACCCCCTTGAAAAAAACAATGACAGCAAACTATGCCCAGCCCCAATTTCGTAGACATTTTTGTTGTTACTGTCAGGGCTGTAAGCCCAACAAGTACTCTGAAGTGCTTCAGGCTTTTGAAGGATTTAGGGAACAGACTAAGGCCTCATTTAGCAGCTTTACAGATGACAGATTTTTACCAGGTAGCTTTAGGCACATAAGGATGGAGTTAAGACAAATGGGCCCACCAGCTCACAGAGATCTCTTGGGTCATCCTGCCATCCTCCTTCCAGGGGGCTGCAGGTGCAAGACACAAATTCTGGGATCTAGCTGGATACCCAACCTACCCCCACCTGCCTCCCAGCACAATTTCCTCTCTCTGGGGGAGGTGCTGGAGATGCAGTATCTTAAAAGACTCATTCATGGAACAAGGTCTTTCATTTTTAGCTCATCACCCTGATACCTTCCAGCTAACTTCTGGGTTAATAAAGGAGATCTCCACTTCCAGATCAGTGCAAAACACACCAAAATGAAGATTTCACAACTACTAGCAGGAGGAGGAACACACTCACTGCAAACAGTGCCAGCAGTCAGTGCTCCACCCCTGCCCTGGGAATCTGGAAATGCTTCAGTGTCAGAACTGGAAGCCACAGAATAAAACCCCTGATGTTTAGCTCACTAGAAAATATAAAAATACACAAGGGACCAGCTAATGCCATAAAGAAAAATAAGCCTGAGTTGTTTTTAAGATAATTCATACAGCAAATTCAAATTTGCCTTCAAGAGAAAATAACTCCTACTCTGAGAATCTTATTAACAGAAAGAAAACAGCACGAGGGAATTCTTCACTGATTGTTTAGGTTTTCCCATTTGTTTTCCACTAATGCAAGGATCACAAATAACAAAATAATAACAACAGTTATTACAATAGCTAGGAACACAAGGAAGGAATAAATCTGGAGCAGACAGCTTTTAGCAGTGTCTTGTATGAAGTCTCTTAAGGAGGTCTAGAAACAATGCAGACCTTCAGTTCCCTTGCTTGTCTCTGCTCCCCTGCTTCTGGCTGCAGGTATTGCTTGTTTCCTCAGCAGTTCCCCATAGTCAACTGCCATAAAAGTTTACCAACTTGCCCAAGATGATGTCATTTTGAGCAGAGCTGGACACGAATGCAACTCACGTCCTTACCAGAAGCCTTCTGAGCACGCTAAGTACTGACACATCTCTTTAACAAATTGTAACAAAGCAATACCAAACTCTTTGACACTCATCTTGAACAGCATGGCTGGTGTGTAGGCACGGGAAGTAAATTCAGAATTTCACTTCAGAGGTCGCTGCCTGCAAGCTGTGAGGCACAAAGGCAAGGAAGGGCGAGAGTAATGGTGAGCAAACAGCAACTGCGGGAAAAGGCGGGGCAAGGAAGCTGGAGAACCTCCACTAAGGAAAAAGCTCATGAGGTAACCAAGAAGTAACTGGAAGATAATACTTATGAAACAGGGATAGTATTACAATGCCTCTCATTAAATCCTCTTCCCTGCCTCGACAAACACACTCTCCTGTACCAGAAATTCAAAGTCTGTACACGTACACCTTTGAAAAAACAGCCCCACACGGTGTTGACAATGCGTTTGATAGGACAACCACTTTATTACAAAGAACAAACAATGCTTCGAAATAAGACTAATCAACTTCAATTGTACAAAATGTCAGTTTCCT